GATCTTAAAATTACTATTCGTTAACACGATGCTTCTACTTTTTTACGTCATTAACCGATAAACTGACAATGTTCCAGGGAGCAGTATGTATGTGTGGGTAATTAATATTATGGATACAAGCTGACAGCTGTCAGCTTGTTTATCGGGTAATGACGGAATTTATTTGGGTGGGTATGGATTTAATTATCAGTCAATAGTAAGAATGGTTACCATGTAAGCCTTTTTTTATGAATTTTAATAGATTAATTATAGTGTATTTTTTAAATTCACAATTGATGTTTCAAGTTTTTACACGTATTTGTGAGTAGTCTTACATCTCTATTACTTTTTGAAATAATAACGTAAAGAAAGGTGATTAAGAGTTACCGACTTAAGATAAAACGACTAATAAAATGATGAAAATACTCCGTTAAAACAAACGCTTAAGTTACAATGTGTTGCGTGTATTGATGAAAGGACTCGAGGCTAATAAACCTTTATAATTAAGACTAGCCTCGATTTTGAAGTCTCGACTCCAAAATTTCGACTTACGGATTGTGAAAGAACTCGAGTCATTAAAAAAGACTCGAATCAATAAAACGACTCGAGTTCTTTACTAAGAGGATCAAGGCTTAATCGCGAGTCTTTTAAGTGAAGAACTCGGGTCGTTTAAAATGAGACCATAAGTAGTTGAACTTCAGTTTATGATAATTACATATTTATTATACATCAGAAGGTACTGAATACTAGTAATTTAATGTTAGAGTAAGAGTGGCCTATGCCACTCTTCAAGTAAAACTGTTACACTATGAAATGCGATCTACATATTTCGTACGGCTAAAGGGCATCTTTCAAGGTCCACTTGCAAGGAAGCAATGTCTCAGTGGATCACTTATGTGTTTGTATTTTGTACCCATAATATTGTACAGTAAATATCTAAATTTACAATCATATATTTATTATTATCTTTTTTTATCACTTATTTTGAACGCTGAGGGGCTCGTGGCTAAGTGGTAACCGAGTAGACATTGCACATTGCAAAATTAAACAATCTTAGCCAGGTAATCTTATGGATAGGTAATCGTTCTTTTTATTGATTCGAGTATTTTTAAATAACTTGAGTTTTCACAAGCCTCAAGTCGTAATTTTGGAGTCGAGTCTTCAAAATCGAGGCTAGTCTTAATTATAAAGGTTTATAAGCCTCGAGTCTTTTCATTACTAGTTACGCATAGTGAGAAAGATTGAAAAAGTGAAATGGACACGGGAGAAGGGGTAGTAGAGGTTAATTGATGAGAGATTACACCAATAACAACCTCAAAAAAAACTCAGTGCAAAATGATTTATGATAAAGTAATTGAACATCCGCATATGACGAATAATACCGTGTCAGAAAAAAATCATTGAGTAACAATACATACAAACTATTGAGTCACATTAAACATCATTGTTCTGAAAACGGTATAATACTCTAGCAATCAACGTCCTGTAATTGCAAGCTAAACATTATGTTTTACAATGTCTCTGATACATCTTTTTCATAAAACTTCTTAAATGTATGAATATAATATCTTAACACAATGTATTATTCAAAATATTGTTGTCATTTTCACTTGGCAAGTTATTATAAACGGGATACTTACCTCACTACATTTTGGGCACGTCAAAACATTGTAAATAAGATTAGGAATCTGTTTAATTAGGTAATCATAAAATGTATTTATATGGGTTTTATCTATGAGGACCTGGTTTAAGTAAATACATTGGTATCAATCAGTCTGCGACCACGGCCAGTTCAACCTGGTCAAAACATCAGGCAATTCTAAATTCCTATTACATCAGCATCGCTAATTCCCGTAGACAAATTCAAATATAAACCTTTATAATTAAGACTAGCCTCGATTTTGACGACTCGACTCCAAAATTACGACTTGAGGCTTGTGAAAGAACTCGAGTCATTAAATACACTCGAATCAATAAAACGACTCGAGTTCTTTGCCAAGAGGTTCAAGGCTTAGTCGCGGGTCTTTTAAGTAAAGAACTCGAGTCGTTTAACAAAGCGAGTCGTTTAATATGAGACCATAATTAGTTTAACTTCAGTTTATGATTATTCCATATTTATAGCACATCAGAAGCTACCGAATACTAGTAATTTAATGTTAGAGTAAGAGTGGCCGTATGCCATTCTTCAAGTATAACAGTTACACTACGAAATGCGCTCTATTTCGTACGGCTAAAAGTAATTTTATGAAAGTTTTCTAAGTTAATACTAGAAAACTAACAGTAAATAAATTATTGTTAAAAATATATAAATAAACACGCTTTTATTACTAGCGGAACTAAAAATAAGAAAAAAAAATTCTATAAGTTCAAAAAGAATAAATCCTTTTTAAAAAGAAGTTGATCCGACTTCAAACAATAGTAGCAAAGAGCACTAACTAAAAAACTAGCAACAATCGCGATTGATTTGCTGTCTTTTTTTTTGTCATTTGCTTCAGTTCACACCTCTTTGTACGTAGCAAAAGACACTGCTGTATTATCAAGATAATCGGCCAAATTTGTCAAATTATTGTATTGTCGTCGGTCCTTGATAAGTGTGCGATGTTTCAATTTAATTCGACGTTTTGAAGTGGGTCAAAATCACGTTTGAAGATTCCGTTGCATACATACAGACATACCAAGCTAATAAAAGTGTATTAAAAAGGTGATAGTCGGTGGAACTCCGTATGAACGAGGAACAAAAGGCCGATTGCCGCCATTGAATGAAACAAAGGTACAACGTTAGTACCATTATTTAGAAGCAACGTCCGGTTTTAATTTTACTTTATATCTAGGTACATAGTACAAATAATTCTAATAATCACATCAGAAAAACCGGGCAAAAGTTGGCAAAACTTTATTGCTACAACGTTTTCGCTACAACGTTTTCGAGACCATGTAAGGATAAAGACCAGAACAATTACTTTCCGTTTCATCATTATAACGCGATAAATCACTCCTTTGTTCTGGTTCGCGAATTTTTCGCCATAAAAAATGTTGCTGACTGTACTCTCCTTATTTATGTACTCGTAATGACCGTACCGTTCTTTTGGTCAGACCTTATGGTTATCAGTATAAAGTTTATAATACTCGTATAATTGATTTCTGCTAGTTTTTCTCTTGCTAGTTATGAAAGTTGCTAGTCGTCTAGTAGATATATAATATAAATATTGGTTTTACACACGATAGCTGTCGTCGCCTGGCACTGCCTCTCGATCCTTTCCAAAAAAGGAAGATGTTATGTGATGTCACTATAACTATACATTAAACTTAATGTCGTACGCCAAAATTGTTTCGAATCGCACTTTTAGGAACCGTGTTTATTAGGTATTTTAATAAAGACTAATTATTGTAAATTCACGCGTCTTTTGTAAATAGGGATACCTACCTGTAGTAGATTGGATTTGGATTTCTGTAAGATTAATGGAGAAAAAACCTACAGTGCTTGGTTTGGTTGTAACACCACTACCTTAAACATTTTTCTAGAGGAAATTTATAAACTGTGGTATTTAATGAGTACTTCGTTTTTTGAACAAGGTTTCGTATTAAATTAATTTATACATATTTTAGTTGTCCTAGTCGAATTTAAAATCAAACTCAGAATAAAATGTTGTATATTGAAGTTTCTAAAGCACCTAAAAGATTTATTTATTTAATAATAAAATTAAATAAATAGATTTAAAAAAATAGTTTTTTATGGGAGATGTGTGTTGTTTTGAAACACGCTTTCCTAGCTGTTGCAATATGAATTAAACTGACAAAGAAACCTTACATTGCCACACAATATTCAAAATTAAAATAAAGATAGTATTAACCATAGTTGAAAGTATGTAGTTGCAAAGCGTAACGCTAGGTAATGAATATCTTATTACAGTGTGGAATGAAAATGATTAAAGTGGCGATAAGTTTATAGATCAAGGACCTTAGATAAAATATTTACATTAGATAAACTTTGCAAATAACTCAATCATTGTTACCATGCTATATACATAATAATTACATTTGTCATTTAAACTGAATACATATCAGTTTTATTATAAATACAAGCAATGTTCACTAGTTGAGGTCATTGACACTTATTACTCGTACCACTTTATCAACATCAATTAAAGTGATCATTTAAATAACTGATTTGGACCGTGACCGAGTGGCGTATATTGAAATCTTACTCCAGTACGCCCGGGCGGGTTAAAATGAACTGAGTTGTAGTAATTCCAAACGATAAACACACATAACTAGTACCCTTTAATGATTTCTAAGTTAATACGCATTATGATGTACTAGGAACCTTATCCGTCCTAATTTCGTAAGGTCTCACTATGTATTGACCCAAGATTGTTGTACTCAACGCACAAAATATTCTTAGAAAAACCAATACGACTCCGCTTTCTATGCAGATTACTATTATACTTACTCACTATGCTATTACAAAATTGTCAGTCTTTCAAAGTGATGTACGAACAACATGCCCTAATTATACCACTGAAGTACGTTATTAAATGCGAGTTGCTGAAAAGGATTAGGGTTCCTAGTACTTCTAACAAAATCTATTGCAGTTTATCACTGTTGAAGACGTATCTTAGTAGTTTTTAACGTGTTTATCGTTTGGAAATTAAAAATTCGTAACGCTATCTAAGTTGAACATCCAGTATACGCTAAAGGGGTGAGTTAACATTTCATTAAAAAAATGGAATCAAGGTGCACCACCAGTTTTATTTTCGTACGGGACCGATTACACAATTCAAGGGGACCATTGATTAATCGCCGGCTGGGGCGACAGATGTTCGATGTGCTTCCAAACACAGATGAATGGCTCGTGGCTGCTATTGTGAACAAGTATTTATATTGGTGGCACATTGTCAGTATTCAATAGTTTACAGCAAATCTTCGTTCGCAATAATGGAGTCTATTGCTAGCGAGTTCTAAATTTTTCTTCTATCTCTTCCTTCATCACATGTTTCATAATACTATTTTTTTTGTTTCAGACATTAGATTTCGACCGAGATGGCCTAACGAAATTGAAAAAAGCTATAAAAGCTATTCATAACTCTGGAAATGGTAAGTAGTCATGGAATAAAAAACACTGGTTCTTAGAAGCAATGCTTTTTACTCGTATATAAGTATTCTGCATCTGTGCGATGATAAATAAGACAAACAAAGACAAAATGTTGCAACTTACCTATCTTATTGCTGTGTATCAGCTTACAATTGGTTGTTACAAAAAAATTACTACACCACAAGCACTTGATATATAGAGTTAAGGTCTTATAACAAATTAAAAGGTAATTATAATGTAAATGCAATGATAAACTGCTAACTTTTATTAACATAAAAAAATCCCCTTTATGTTCATAGCGGCATACGGAGAATATCCGTTGTGAGGGATTTTATTTGTATTCCACTCTCTAATGGCACATTATACGTGCGACAGGAGAACGAAACTTGATTAAAAATAGAAATAGAGGAAGTTATATGGTATGAATAGATCAGGCTAGAATAGACCGAATATCCGATGCACCGCTCGGCTGTTTTTAAAAATAAATTCCATTTTGGTACTTGAAAAACTTCGAGTCAACTGCAGCGCATAAATTTCTGATTCATAATATATGTAGGATGATGAATAAAGCATGTTATCAATACAGGCATAATTGTCGGCTGTTTGGCTGTACTAGCTTGAGTGAAAGCTTAATAAAATAATAGAAAGTGATTATAATTAAAGACATACTTAGGGAAGCAATGAGTAAAATAACACATTCACAAATTCTTTACGGTCTCCGTCGTAAATCCTTGCGCTTATAAGCTGTTTGTGAAACACAACATAGTAAAATTTATGGATTTTCGTAAAATTTTTAGTTAAAGAGTTCACGTTCTTCATAGGGTGCCTATAATTTTGTGTTCCAAGTATGGTATGACAGTAAATCGTGGCTCTTTGTCACATTTAAAAAATGGCTAATAATTTCTGATGTTAAATATTTAATGATATTACATTATTATAACATTGTATTTTATATTATTTTAGACATTCGACAAAGGGTCTAGCCAGTATTCCTTCTATATCTGCAAAAATATACTTTTCACATAGTAATATACCAAATGTAGTAATACTATAATCGCTACATAATACGAGTATATAAGAAAAGCCATGTTTTTGGAACTGAAACTTCTTTAGCACCGTTGTGATTTGAAAACTCGATGAAAGGAAAAAGCAACAGTAAAAAGAGACAAACATATTCATAAATAGGATTTAGCCAGCGAGAGAATGAGATAGATTACAAGTATACTGTGTTTTCTGTAATCTTCGTCTCCTCTATGCTATCACGTGCCTTTGCGCCTGCGTACAATGAAGCCTTCAGAAAATGTGTATAAAAATATCTTAAATATGTATATGAAATGTAATATTTTGCATTAAAATTTAAAATAATTTCTAAGCTTGGTAAAAAATTATAAAAATAATAAACCTACTCTATATTGATCGAATTCTCTTGTATGCTACTTTTCTGAAGATTCACTTCTGACGTATGTGAACTGCACACACACACTTTTTTTTGTTGGAAGTATGCGGAACTCAGCTACAATATCTATTTATTTGTTAACTCAATTCAAACAATCACAATGGTTGAGTCACATTTTTGATGGCAAAATAATGTAAGTCATCACTAGAAGAGATAATATTTCAAAAAGTGACTGTGGAGAATGAAAATATACTATCAAGCTTGAACAAAGTTTATGAGTACATTTAGTTTGTTGGTCTTGTCGAAAGTGACGAAAATTTCTCGTTCACCTCCGTTTTACAAACGTTTCCATCATAACGTTTCCTTCTGAAGCCTAAAGACATCTTACACGTTACCTAAAGCTTATTAGTGTATTAAAATACGCTCCGTTTTAAGATCTTAGTGGGTAAAATAAAAACATTACAGAGTATTCTACATCTACATTCTTAAAACATTATAATGAATTTTTTTTATAAGTAGTTAATATATTTTGCATCTTCCTTATTCGAAATGTAAACACAATAGTTAGTATGTACAAAACAGCTTATGGTCCCAACGAACAGAACCGGCTTCCTAGGACGAAAGGCTGTTCAACTCGCTGAACTAGAATGACCTAAATATCGCAACACACAGTACTTGTAGATATTTATTTAATTAATAGACACTCCATTCACTTGTTATATGAATAAGCAATAATATAGCTATATTGTTTACAGTGACAGTTAACCGTATTTTGTTATAGTCAGAACGTCAACGCCCAACGATTTGATTTCTTTTAAAGATAAAATACGAAGCTTTATGTTTTCTCATATAACTGCGTAACTAAGAATTTATGGACGACATTTTTACGAATTCTGGATTGAATAAAATGTAAGAAATTTAAAAAAATGCGTTCTATGATACTATACAATTACCAAAAATAACATGATGGTTTAGGTGTCATTAACTTATTACGTTACAGTTAGAAGCAAGTGCAGCAGAGTATCACCTCATGGAGTTCAAGGGTATTTGCAAATACAATTATATGCGGTATTTCTCGTGACTGTATCTAATCATAAACAATTTCTTGATTCGTAACTTCTACAAACGACAGACAAGTTATTTCCATCCTTGTTATGTGTATTTAAATGTATAAAATAAATGCTTTACTTGGTCCCATATAAATGTGGTAGTCGTAGTCGACTTTATACGAAATGCCGTTTAGGTTTTTGGTTATAAGAGTTCAGTAAAGTTTGCATTTCAAACCACTTCTAAATTAAATGACCATGATTCAACTTTTACGAGGGAACACTTTTTGAGTTAAGAAACTTGGGTAACGAAGGTATTTACATTTACAATTCTGAAATGTCAATAGTTTTCTTTTGCTATTTTATAGTTTACACTCTTGTTCATCTGAGCAAACATGACTAAACTTGAAATAAATATCAAACCATTTCGAGTGGCGGTGGCCGGTCACGAATGAATTTCCCTTCATATGCGACATGTCAAGGAAAGTAGGTCGAATGTCTGGTTTTGCTCGCTACACAATTGTGTACTGGACAGGTTAGATTAATATTCAGGAACCCATATGTATTTAGGCAATACCCCTCACAACTGCTATTAACATTAATAACATAGATATAATATACACATGTCATATCATAAATTGCTTGTGAAGTCTATTTTCACTAACTGTGAAACTTTACTTTTTTAGTCGCCTTCAAAAGCCTTATTTAAATGTTACCTGAATGATAAGATAACACGTGACCGTATTACCTCAGAAACACATGCAATATCTAAATATAATATTATTTAACTGTACCACTTATGAATTCTGCATATGTATGTACTTATACTTATAACTTATATGATTAATTAAACAGTTGATTTATCTATAAGATACGCATTTCTGTTTGTAAATACCTACCTAACAGTTAAAAAAAATCTGCTATTAATGGAAGTGTTTCTCTGTAAAAGTTCATCGCGTGCTAAGTTCTGTTTATAAATGTTGAACTAGGCGCATTGCAGCGGGCTGCGTCAAGCCAAAGTTTTCGCTCGGAACTGGTCGTGCGAGTTCGGATTACGCGCCGGCGCAGCTGGCAAGGTCGCGCTCTCGGCCAGCACGCGCCGGCAAAAACAACAAAACAAAAACACCAGCATTCCTATATATATAATGATGATACAGTGTTTAGGGAAGATCTCCGCTCAATGTTTATATTGTTTCCCAGAATTAAATTATGAAGATTTTTTCTACTTCGATGAGCACGGATCGATATAAGGTAGTGTAACTACAACCGTTCTTGGAATCGTGCCAGGATTCGTAGGCATTGGTTTGGAAAACGTTTTATTGCTACCTTTAAAGCTGTTTAAATAAATTTTGTAACAAACCTACATATAACTAAAGTTATTTATACTATCGTCTTACATATTTAATAAGGTAGGTATTAACAATGTAACGAATTTTGGATTTTTCACATCCGCCAAAAAATATGAGTATCTTTATTTTCTGTATTTGTTCTTTTTTTTCTTAAATAAGAAGTCCAATGGTGTACCCACATATTGTCAAAATTAGCAATATCCAAAGCAAACATATTGTGCATTTTTAGGAATAGAAATATTTAAGAATCTTTTGGAAATATTTAAATTAATTGTGAATACTTAAGAAGATAAAACAAATATAACTTTGATAAAGGAACAGCTTGTGAAACAAAATTAAAAGTTTATTCAAGTCCACTGCGTTACTAAATTAACATTAGGTAAGAAAAACTTTGGCTTCAGTGCCAGTCTTCTACATAAATCTATATCTACTAATGAGGGTCACTATTAAAATGATCAAAATTCTAGTGAAGTGTTAAATCAGTCACAGTCATCCTTCGCATAAATGATGAGAAAGTATTTCTGTACTGATTGCCTCAGGAATGTGCCATCTTCATATTTTTTAAATCTTATTAATATTATACCATACACACATATATCATACCATACCCAAACATAATTTCTTTTCTTACTTATGTATATTCGCAAAACGTGAACTCGTTTCTTGTGAAGGCGAATCCGAAAATAGAAAACAAGCGAATATTCGTTGTAATATATTAGGAGTTGTGCTATAAGTATATATCAGTATATAGGTATAAAGGAGAAAAATATCGTTTCACGAGCCATAAATTCTGCCCTCAAAATTAAAAATGTAACTTAACCGTCCTCAAATTACCTAATGTTTACAAGGGTAGCGTTTTAATTATGCTTGAGTTCCCGTTTTGACTGTTTATTGTGTCTGTTGTGGATATCTTTAAAAATTGTGAACAAACTTAAATAATGTAATCTGAGGTAAATTATAATAGATCCAAAGTAAAAGTAAGTCAGAAAAAACACACGTTAAACTAAACAAGTAAACTAATACAAGTTTGATTTATATGATTGCGAGACGCTTCAAAAGTAACCTGATTTGGCTATCGTTTTTAAGTTTTTGTATTATTTTCAATAGTTAAACAAATAATAATAAAAGTTAATATTTAATAGAAACAGTTGAGTATGACCTCATAAGTCAATATTTCGTACTTGAGAACACTGATTCGACTTGACAGTCAAGTGCCGTATTGAAATGAAGCATTGTTGTATATAGTTTGCATAACAATACCATTATCTGGCACCTTGGAGCTTGTTTCACGATGAAGCCGGTAGATTTTAACCGTGGGATTTTAACCAGCACATTTGGGCAAGCTCGACCGGAGTGATACTAGGACCTCAAGAAAACCAGGCAATTCTTTCATTGTTTTTCATGTGTCCGCCTGTCTATTTGTCAATATACTATTTTTCAAAACACATGCAGGGTATTGATATATGATAAATGAAATTAAAATCAAATATTTATACGGTCCCTTCGTGCTTCTAAGTGAAATCTATCAGCCCAACATTTTGTGGTTAAATCAAAACCTATGGCTTGCTACCTATGGTTAATGGTAACAAAATATTTTATATGATGGTGTAAAACTTTATAATGAAATACATGAGATGGTATTACTGAAAGTGGCAGTTTTGTTAAAGTTAAAAATAATCAAGAAGATTACTTTAGAAAAAACTAATAGCACCAATATTATTGTCTTCATATCTTTGATAGTCTATAGGCAATGTAACCCATTCTAATTGGGAGTTTAAAAAAGTATTCCACGTCGAAATTGAAAAGCGTTGGGTCTGTGCTTTGCCATTTAATATTCAGAACGCGTCGGTGGGATTGAGCTAGGCAAATGTGGGCCGCGACACGGATCTTTTTAGACTCTTTCATCGATGTACCTACTGTTACAAATTTTAAGAAATAATATAAAAATACAACGTATAAAAATAAAATTTCAATTTAGTATCCAATTTGAAAATAAAATTTATCTGTACTATGTGACATGTTAAATAAAACAGCTTGTTATGATGATTTCAAAAACTGAAGTATTGGGTCTTAAAATAACAAAATTGAATGTATGAGAACTCATGCTCTACTACTACAATGTTAAGTTGGTTCTTGGGATAAAACGGCTCAGCAGATCCCACCACATCCTTCTGGTGTAGGTATAGTCATTGACAAAATGAGCATATGAAAATAACAGTGTAATCTCTTTCAAGTGCACAAAGTTTTATTTTTTAAAAGAAAATATAATTTAAAATGTGACTTGTGAACACTACATGTAAGACAGCTGAAAACATTACTTACTTAAATATAAGTATTTTTTTATAAATAGAAGTGACTTCGACATTCGAACTCGCTAAAGCGTCAGTGCTATTTATCTACTTAAGTGGTCCCGAGTTAGATAAGCTCTGAATAAAAAAAAATATATAAGTACCTAAATACGCTAATATGCTGCTCGTAAAATCCTAGCTAGGAGCTGATGATGCACTCCACTGTAATATATGTAGTAACTCACGAATGTATCAGTTAATCTTAAGCGCCACAAACTTCCGACAGTTCTCTTTTACAAAGTAAATCCGACTGGTAAATTAATTAAATGGCCGACAGCTAAAGTTAAATAAAACTAGCCTACATGGAACAACTTAGGAACTATGTAACATTGTATTTTTCGTTGCAGAAAATTTACACTGCATGTCCTATTAATTGAACTTACAGAATAGGTTTTTATATACTTATTTTTCTCTTTTATGTCTACTGAACATGTACATGAACGTTTACGTAATTTACTTACTAAAATACTCGTACTTACTTATTGTCAAAAGATATTAGTTCGTAGTAGGCCTCTCCTTAGAAATGAGGTTTTGGTCTAGTATACCACGCTGGCCCGAGGGGTTGGTATAGGATTTGTGTCAAGTTTTCCTTCTCGTTGCAGTGCTGTTGTCCTGCGTATTTTGCCCCCTTTGTCGTCTCTTACGACACCCACTGGATGAATGGATGGTGACATTCCGTATTCTTAATCCGTCACCACACGGAGGTTGTGTAACAGTTCCATGTTTAAAAATGTTTAAACATAGGCCATTGGAATTAAAATTGGTGTTAAAGAAATATGATAAATTGTGAGTATTATAAAAAACATAAAATGCAAGTTATTCTGAAATAATGAATTATTATTATAATGTGCACATATCTATGCTTTAAGGAAAGTAGTTCTAGTAAGCGAAGATTTCATTGTTTATCGTCCATAGGTATCAGTTCTAATGTCAATACTTCTTGATAAAATTGCATTGCACAACGTCATCATCATCAGACAGTGCACTTAGCTTAGTATTTATTATTATAATAATATTTTCCGACATCTGACACACAACTCTAGTTTCAAACTAAGCAGAGCTTGTACTATGTAAGCTAGATTGTCTGATAGAATAGTTATACATATACTTTTCTTTGTAAGTAGATACATATTATACATAGGAACACTCAATCTCCGAAACAAATATTTGCAGATCATACAAACATTTGGTCCGACCCGGGAATCGCATCCGAGACTTCAGCACAGCAGTCGCATACTCTACGACTGCACCACCGGGCAATCAAATTATTACAAATTTGTTAGAACTTTTCTTTTTCTATACAGCACACGTGGACAATGAGATGTACCTATCACGGGCGCTGGAACGGCTTGGGGGAAATGCGCTCAGCAAAGACTCCGAGCCAGATATCGGCGCAGCATTCTTCAAGTTTGCTGTTGTCACCAAAGAACTTTCTGCACTCATGAAAACATTGGTAAGTTCGTCCATAATATTATATTAGCAGCCTAGTGCTATAAGATCCTAATTACTGAAAAGAAAATATTTTTTTATCTCTTCTTACCTATGCTGAGTCTGCTGCGTTTGAGTCACTACGGAGCTCATAATTAAAAATGACGTCTTTATAGTTACAACCTAAATAAGTTTTTATTGTTAATTTAAACTTATTAATTATTTAATTAATATTGACTGCCACTTCCTACACTATTTAAACGACTTCTTCAGCCAGGTGGAACTGATTAGGTCAATGATCTTACTGTGCTCTATCTCTCTTACGAGCAGGTTTCCAACAAAATTAATGTAGCCCGAATTAATTTTAAAACAATTTTCAAGTCACTAACATGTGTTTTTGCAGCGGAATACGTATTTACGAGTTACAGTGCAATCAATATTACACACCGTAGTTACAAAACGTACAAAACGGGTATAAACCTTGTATGAAAACCGCAAAAATATAAAGTCTTGGAGTTCGTGTATATTTACTCTATACTGCCAGTCTTTTTTTACTTTTTAATACTTACTTGTTTAAACTTTACTGTCTAAATTTTCGTTACATTAATTTAGAACTTTGATTCTGTTAACATGAAGCTAAAGTCAAATAGCCTAGACAATGTTTTGTTGCAATGAAAACAGACGTTTTCATCTTCGATTTCTATTATTGTAAAAAAGTTATCACAATCTATACTCTCGAAAATACCCATGGATATTGAGCATTGAAGTTACTAGTTCTAGAAAGCTCAGATGTAACACGTTTGGTAAATATAAAAAACCAACTTATACATACGAGTATTATTATTATGTTATAACGTTTAACTTTCATTTAATCGAGTTTTTGTTGGAACGATGTTCTAATAAGTATGAAATCTATCTGAGTTAGTTAAGTTTTAATAAGAAAAATAATATACAATCGTTTGGAGTTTTGTCACTGGCAGTATCTATCTCGTCTTGTTCTTCTTAGTACTTTCAAAAAAGAGATACTTTTCTTCTGACGCTCTGTTAATACAGCACGAGCGTTGATCTCGAGGGTGTTGAATATTAATTTGACAGGAAACATGCAAGGGAATTGTATTGCCAAATTAGCCAAAAGTATCAAACCATCAACACTCGAGAATGTAATCAGAATGTGTAGCCGGCGAAAGCGGAAATTATATCTAATATTGAGGGAGCCTGTGGCGGATGTCTCGTCAGCATCTCATTGCGAGGAGGGAACGACTGTCGACTCAAATGCTATAAATCGACATCGGACGAAAAAATATTCATTTCTTCTATCTCATAACTTGCAAATTAATTTAGACAAGTGGTCGCCCAGTGGTTGAAATTCGACCATAATTCATGTAATTTTTAAGTTTGAACTTTATTAGGGTTCTTTTGACACAGACTATACCTCTATAATCAAAGGTTTCATAATGGCTATATTATATTTCGAATGCATTTTACATAAAAAATATATCTTTATACACATCTTCTCCAAATGAACTTTAACTGTGTCAAATTTCACGTTCATCCGTTCGCGCAATTTTCTTAAAAAGGGGTACAACATTTTTGCTTCACATATTAATATTTAATATGTAGGTATATACAGTAACATTTTCGTCGCCGATTTATCACCTTTTCATTTTGTTCGCACTTGATTGATTCATTATTTATTGAAATACACAAATGTGTTAGATACACAAAGACATTTTTTAAGTGCAAGTCCTTAGTGCAATTTTAATGGCTTTTTAAATTTAATTAAGCTGAGTGGTATAATTATGTAATAAATATTCGTTTTTAATTTTTATTGTGTTATAGTCCTATTTATAACTATGTGCAGCAATATAAAATATGCTTTATCTAATACTTGACTCGTAGTTTGCCTAACAGACTTATGGCCGTCAAGTAGATCTCCGTCAATATATATACCTATTCCTTTAGTAATTTAAAGATAAGTCGGGATCCCTATTTTATTTAAAAAAATATATTTGAAAGCCTGAATATAAATGTGCGCTTCAAGAGGTACATCGGCATTACCCTTCTAATTAGGCTACCCTACTGAGGAAGTATCACAAAAGATAAGAACCATAATCACTCTGCGTGTCTGTATGTGTTTCTTCCGCTGTCACTATATTTATATTTTTATGCGTTTAAAAGAATGTAAGTAAGTTTTACCCATTACAGTAAGACAAATTGTTAGACTGTTTTTCAAGATAGTTGATTAATTAAACTAATTCAATAACCACTATGCGGGCTACTATCCTGAAAACCCGCCATTAACTGGATTAACCACTGTTTCTACGAGTATTTCATTATATCGTTTTTGATCAACAAAACTGCAAATATCCCACTGATCTCAGGTCATTCCAGTACAGTGGCTTGTAAGTTCATCAGCAACTTGCTCTTCAATATGTATAACCTTGTGCATGTGGAGTTGTCATAATCCAGTTGCGTGCCCGACCCAGTTCTTGATAATGGTCGGACAACATTGTACAGAGTATGGTCTGTTATCACTGACAGGACTATTGTTGCCAATAAGCCTGATACAGTGGTAATAGACCTTTTAGAGCGACGAGCTATGATTGCTAACATCACCTGTCGTCATGACGACAATCAAAACAAATGAAATACAAATATTATACGTCAAGTGTTTTGATTTGGCCTATGAATTGGTCGACATGAAGGTGTGGGTTTGGCAATCATTGTGAAAATTTTCATATCGGCTCATGAGTTGATGGCTGAGATCCTAAACCTACACCTTCAGAATCTCACGTTACGCAGCTTACTCGTAATTAAGAGCCAGATGCAGAAGGCAGTCGTTGTAGACACTTTTTTAATATGTAATTTTAATGTATAAGCGAGTTTGCATTCGGCTTACCAATTTTAAACCCGTCAAATTTTAAAAATGCATGCGCCTCGGAGTCTTCCTGTGGCAAGTCTTCTATTTGGCGTAATTAACTTCCGTACACCGTCCTATTTATTTAACAAGTTGAAGTTGACATCTAGGCACAACCAAAATATGAGTAGAGAGTGCTCACTGCAACTTTCAATACCACATCATAGGACAACTGCCTTTACGGGTACTTTGCGTCGAAATGCTGGAATAATATCTCTCCACCCGTAAAAAGAAGACCCAAGTGCGAATACTTTCAAAAAGGAAATTGGACGAATTCTTACTGCAGCATCAGAAGGAATTCGAATACGTCAGAGTAACTCTTAACGCGATATAAAATGGAGAGCGTCCCATGACCATGGATGCCGTGCAGTGCCATATCTCACCCTATTTTCTTATTCAGTACAAATTATTATATTTTTACTATCATAGTCATAATGTTTTCATTCAATCAATTTGTTATCCGATTAGTATTATATTTAAATGTTTTCCTATCAATCAAATTATTATGCAATTACTGTCGTTCTCAGAATATTCTCAAACCCATATATCTTTCTAATCTGCTATACCAAACTATTATAATTATCGTATATTTACACTATCGAACAGACACTCGGACAACACCCTTGGGCTGCGCTGAAAACCAGCGTTGGGTGCATTGCGCCTAGCATTATACTGAGCCGTGGTCCATATTTGTACAGATGTAATTTATATATGTTACTGTTGTTAATATGTAACAATCCTATAAAATGTGCCAATCAAAGTATTTTTCTGTTTTCTTTCATATTAAATTGATCCTATTTTTTGTTGAAATGCGATAAAACCGTTGCGCGCTATTTCTGAAATAATTTAATCCACATGTACCAGTGCGGTGTTATAAGTACTAAATAAAATATTTTAATGTAATTATATATGTTGTCGGTGCAACATAAAATCGACCTTCTTGGAAGGCAGATTGTTAGATATTCAATTTCAAGCGTACGATAACAGGCATTTGACTCAATAACATTGCGTAGGCGCAACGGCTAGCGCAGATTTACTTGTAAATGGGTCAGGGTGATGACACGACCTGGCTAAAGTTGCTAGCTGCGTGCGATACACGGTTTAATGCTGCATCGTAAACTAAATCCTATTTAATGAAACATTCGAATAGAAAAGTCGATTTTTCTATCGAATTACAAAAGAAATATGGATCAAGACATAGTGTTAGTTTCAGCTACTTTAAAGACGACAGTAGGTATACTATTCAAACTTATTCTTTCATTCAGCAGAATCCTAAATTACTTTACTATTGTTTAAAATACAATCTGTTAGTGAATTTCTATGTTATTAGGTTTGTAATGTACCTAAAGAGTGTGTGCTATACAACTTATCTTTAAGTCTCAAGTAACTGACGTACATAACATTTTAGTACACACTTAGCAGGATTACTAGCGCGTACAAAATTCTAGACCAACTATACAATTTAATAGCCACATTAAGTGTGTTTGAAAATGTAGGGCAGCACAGAAACACTTTTCTAGTTCTCTAACGGATTGAGAAAAATCTAGAAGGTTCAAGTTTTTAAAGTCATTTACTTTTTTGACACTTGCGAGGATTCAACTTCGGTCAATAGACCGGTAGAATACTGCACTGTAAAATGTGTCGAATTTCTGACCTTTTACTGCGCAGAATCCTCGACCTGCCCTTGACACGATCCTTCTTTGTCCTTACTTCCAGGTCATGTTCGTAAAATCACTGACTATCTAGTTGGCAATTATGTGATCAGTGATTTAAGTTAACTATGATTAGTTTTTCTTAAATTAGATCCGTAAATATAACATTCTTACTAAATTTAATTCCTTTTATTTTTAGCGATCCAGTATTTTATGATCAATTCGTATATCCAAGGTTTAGGACAAAGTTATGACGAAAACTGTATTGATCGCGCAAATATGGAACGGCACCGATTCTGTTTGTAGACAATGGCATAATAATTGATTACTGTACTAATATTCTGTACGTATAGTGGCATCATGCGCTATATCCATATAAGGCTTCAAACGATACCCGGTTCAATACGTCGTTGGTTGTTTGACTTATAAAACGTCAGTGAAGTGAAGATTTTTTATGTTTTGTATGAAAGCATATCGTTCAAAGCTTATCCGGATTTACTTAGCGATGACTCGACAACTTGTCGCGTTTCGCATGAGGTGTCACCGCTCTTCGCTCCGCTTATTTCGAATTGTGTCTGCTACTGTAATGATAATAATGTATGACTAAATTCACCTTAGTTGTGCTATTTGTGTTCTCTTCGCATACTTGACTGCGCAATTGACGATAGTGTACGAATATAACCATGTTGAATGTTTAAAGCATTATCGTGGTATTTGAAATAGAAGCGAACCTAGTTTTTCCACAAATCTGTGGTTTGAAAAGCGTACTCGTTAGTAATATTCAGATGTTAATTTACCCTTATTTATTTATTGGATTTGGTTTTGTAATCTAGAGCATTACTGGACGTTTCCTTTATTAAACGTTATGCTTCAGCATAGAATCTAAAAAAAACACTTATGATGTCGCTGAATGTCCTCTGAAATAATAAATGACTTCACTGTACCCTCTAGAGGTATATTAGTCCCTAAGTTTTCATCATAGAAAAGAAAGGTAAACCTTTAAAGTATGTATGTCGATTTACATCACAAACGCATTTGGCAAGGTCGAACAATGATCTTGATAATTTACTGAAATACATCAGTTTCAATTTTTTGTCTACTTTGGAACATTGCAAACCTTATGTAATGTACCCTGAAAACAAAAAGAAATTTATACCTAACTCGATCTTCCGTTTAAATTTTTATATGACATATTTGTTTTACCAGTTCCAGAATATTGCCCGTTCAGTTCTGTTTTATTCATTTAGCTTGTCACCGGGCTTCAAATATTAAGTAATAGCTCAACGCTCGTACATTTTTAATTTAAATGCCAACCCTTAATCAAGACCCTCAAGCTTTTACGTCCGGTTATACTTTAGGTACCCATTAATCAATTATATGGTTAAATATTAACACGTTTTAGTAAGGGATTCATATTTTATTTTAGAAAGAATATTTGATTTATCATCAGCCTACATCGCCGTCCACTGCTGAACGAAGGCCGAGGTCAGTCTGCTGCCAGCCACTTTCTTGAAGTCGGCGGTCCATCGTACCACAGGGCGATGATGTAGTGTAGCAAGGAACACTACGTTTGCCTAATTGCGGTCTCTACTCTAGCAGATTTCTGCTCCAGCGACTATCGGTCCGTCTGGAGACATAACCGGCTCACTTCCACTTCTATATTTGATTTGCAGCCTAACTGAACACTGCACAAATGGCGTAGTGGTTTAAACGGTGACCTCGCCGCTTCCTACATAGTTAAGTGTCGTGGGTTCGATCCCCTCATGGGACAACACTTTTGGCACTCAGGACCACAATTTGTGAATTACACAAAAATTGTTGTCCTGAGTCTGGGTTTTCTTTGTGTCCGTTTCATATAATATATGTTTGTGAAGTTCAAGCGACATAGGATAAAACCCTAGAGCGGAGTTGTCTTTAAAAAATAAAAATACCTTTATTGGTTGACAAGTAATTATTGGATATAATTCCTAAACGAGATTCTTTTAATTTTCCATTTCATTTTCACTCTTTTAAAAATAACAAACAGTGATGTAGCTACTAATTGAATAGATTATAAAAACGAAAAAGATAAGCTGATATCTTATCATGAATATAAATTATACAGGTTGACCAGTAATGATCCTTTTACCTGCTGTTACGGTACGGGCGCATTACTTTTTCAGCTGAATATCTCTTTCTCTAAACTCTCTTTCTCTATTAACTTATTTGTCTTCGGTGCAATTAGCGGTGCACCATTTCTCTTTTTAGAAGAAAAAGATTCTCAGTCATTAGTCACTTCAAGCGTATTTATCATTATTAGTTATGCCATTTTAATTATACATACATATACAACACGTAAAAAGTATTAAAAGGGATTATTTTTAAATCGTCTTTCTAGTACTTTTAATAAGTTGAAATAGTGTTTATATAGGAAACCCCCTTTTTTTTCTGTGCGGGAATCCCCTCGGATACCATCGGTGGTTATGTCGGACTCTAACCGACTAAAAACCGCACGCCATCTCAGGCACCAGTAGCCGGGGAACCAGATGTACCCTAGGAAGGAAATCCCTGGAACCCCGACGTACCCCGGGCCATCTACGGCATGTAGATGACCCCCCTCGTATGTGGGAACCACGGTGTTCCCGTTCTACAAACTAAAGGTCCGCCCGAATTGGCGGCGCGACGCGCCCTTTAGTTTGCCGGCCAGGTTGGCGTTCCTGTGCCTGGCGAAGCGGAAGAGTTCTAAATCTCTCCCAGTCCCGCTCCGCCGTCTCCTTCACAAGCATAACTTGCTCACAGAAGTAGACGGCGGAGTTCCACGCGCTCTCGCTTCGTACCATGGCCCATTCCCACTTCGATGGCCGCCACGAGGTCACGCCTGTGCTCAACCTGCGCCGGGCATTCTGCCTGAGTGTGGAGCGCCGTGTGTGGCCCTCGCAGTGGTGACACCCAGGCGTTGGCTCCTAGCGGATCAGTCACAGGTGATCTCCGAAGCATCCTTTCCCGGTGATCACCTGCGTGAGCCGGTATGAGAGGGTCCCATGATGCCTTTCTAGCCAATCCCCCATAACGGGTCTTACCGCCGCAATAACGGCAGTAAAGATTAAATAGAAGTAAAGAATTGACGACCGGAAATATATCTGCAACAAACCAATAGCTTATTTAAAGTTGCTTTTTATGCTAAGTACAGGCAGTATATTAATTTAGCCCATTTGAAAAACATCTTGTTCACCCAAGTCCACCCAGAAGTTATAGCTGGATTAATTTACAGATTAGCAACGTTGAAGGTAGCATGTTTCTTTTATTCAATAAAGTTATATGACCAAGCTATAGGGATCTGAATGTAATGATTATGATGAAATCCTGCTGAGTACAAAGTTATGCAGACAAGTGCAAAATAGTTATTTAAGAACATAAACATAGGTTACTGTAAACGCCCAAAGTACTAACTACTTACTACCAAAACTTAAGATTACTGAGTAAAATTCAAGCTTTACCAACTTCTAGTGTTAATAGTGCAAAATGATTGGTAATGATAATAAATTTCACACTTGCCCATTTCACTTTATCAAGCTTAGGTTTTGTAGTTCCAAATACAAGCATAAAGGTTTGTTTATTTAATTTAATGTCATGTACCTACATAGTTTTTTTATAAAGCTAATCCAAAGCCCATCATTTTTAAAGACTTTACACAAAGTTTACTAGGTGCTTTACCGAGTTAAATGTAAGCGTGCGACTAACAATTAACATACAATATAGTTAAGCGTAGTTACAGATCGCACGTGCTCTTGTTTCAAACAATGATAATTGTTCTGTTAATGTACCGTGAACCAATAAACAATTCTTTTTGCGCCTATTTTGTACTGTAATAATTGCAGTGTTTTGTCTATCTTTAAGGTAATGCTTTTATGACATTATGATGTAACATTCAGTTATTGTATTGTGTATTATCTCTGAGATAATAGTTTGGGTGTTTACATAAATTGCATTGGAATGGTAATAAACTGCCGTATCTTATCAATGTGATACGTTAGTCCTTTTATACATTACATATATAGTGTCTGCTGAATAGAATCAAATGTTATGTTGCGTTCAAGAGTTAATCATAGTGATAAATGTTGCACGAATCCATTTCATTTATACTTTACTATATAACTGAAGACAGTCCATATAACATGCAATTCCAGGCGGGATTGCACAACTTCAGTAAAACGTGGACAATGATGTTCGCTTGAAATTTAATCCCACGATCTGATAAGCCTTTCACGATTAATCTAGTGTGTGTGTGTGACCTTCTGCGATGGGAGTATCAAATACGGATAAGCTTTTGGTCACCACAGATTGGACTACTATTATTTGGAAAGTGAATTTATGGCGGATATCGATTTTCGATGACTCTGTTTATCAAATTCCATCGTTACTGACGTGTTACGTAATAATTTAATAACTACATATAAACCTTACATAATAATATTGCGAGTGAACTGATCGGGACCATTAAACAAAATCATCAAAGGTGTCATGAATACGGCTTTCGTGTAGAATCTAATTCGTTAGCGGTGGCGTAAGGAAAAAGTTCTTTATCCAAATTCCAACAATATTGAAACCTGTCACAATAAAATATTTTTTACTGGTAATTTTGATATGGAAATTATACTCGTATGCCTATTGTCATTACCGATAGTAATAAATTAATAATTAATAAATTAATAGTAAGCACAGTCACTGTTTATGTTCTTGTGATCTACTAATTTGAACAATATTCAATGATCTGTGACAATTTTCATTATATACTTCAAGCCTTTGTTCCTAGTTCCCTCCCGAGTCCCGTCTGTCACAGGCGTATTCGCTTTATTGAATCTTTAATCGACGCGCCATGAATGGGGTTTCCATCTAGCTTGTTGACTTTTTGTACTCATCTGTTTAATTACTTTGTCTGTATAGCCCATTATTGTAACTAACGATTTTAACGAGGCACGCTCATATGTTTTTTCTTACCGCAGTCATACTATAAACAATTTTAACGACGTTGTTGTTTATTCTGTAATACTCGTATATTGATTCGGTAACTATGAATGCAGGCAATCATGTTTTGAGATTTGAGGTCAAGATTTTCTTATAATACAGTTTTACCAACGATGCTTACTCATACCTAAATGCATATTTTGATTTCTCAATCTGGCATTATTAGTCAGTCAGATCACGACGCGTCGTTTGGCGCCTATTTGCGCCATTCATGTGTCCTAGTGAGGTTGAGATTATTGTCATAGAATTTAATATAACTCTTTAATTAAAATATTTTAGCTTAAAATCATAAATCATCATAAATCATAAAAGTAAATAACAAATCCAACGGTGTTACAAATTGAAAATATAAGTGTACTAATAGTATATCATTTTTTTATTATTTTATTATAAGCATACATTTTGTTCACAGATGCAAAATATAAACAACATCGTCATGTTTCCAGTCGATAGTCTTTTAAAAGGCGACCTCCGAGGAGTAAAGGGGGATTTGAAGAGACCGTTCGACAAAGCCTCGAAAGACTATGAATCCAAATATCTTAAAATTGAGAAAGAAAAGAAATCGCAAGCTAAGGAAGCAGGTTTGATTCGGAGTGAAGTAACACCAGCGGAAATAGCCGATGAAATGGAGAAAGAGAGAAGATTGTTCCAGCTGCAAATGTGTGAGGTAAGTAAATTGTAATACGATTTATTACTCTAATTTCTGTATTTATGAACTGGTGATACCAGTTCATAATGAATCCACTCCATCCAAAGGTTGCCTGGAAGAAATTGCTCTAAGCGATAAGGCCGCCCTTTGTATGTGCCGGATATCCGTATCCGTATCCGCGGATATCCAAGGGAGAAGAGAGATCCGTAACCGTATCCGTATCCGTGACTTTTTTGGCGGATCTTTCAATACATATTATATAGATGAAATTCTATATAGGTGATTTTGTATTCACTGTAAAACTCTTAGGTATGTGTTTGTAACACTATAAAAGGCAACTTTTTTCTGGCCAACGTCAAAATAAAAAAAAATTGGTCCTCCATTCAAATGACCAATCAAATGTTGTTAGTTTGTATGGAGAAACAATTTTTTTTCTTTCGTTTTCGGTTTTAGTCCAGAAGAAAAGTTGTTATTTATAATGTTACTAATATGCACTTCAGAGGTTTTCAGTAAATTTAAAATAACCCTGAATAATGGTTATTAGGTAGCTATGAAAAACTATTGAATTCTGTTCAGATTACTTTTTATTTCTTAAAACAAATATTTGGCACCTTTGTATTGCAATCATTTATCGTACTACACTAAATCAACTAGGCAGGTCGTAGGTACTGAAAGAGCTATCTTTATAATGAGATCAATGAAACATCTTTGTATTAGCTTATTAAAATAATGAAATATTTAATTTTCAACGGCAAAGCGTCAAGTGGCGACAACTATCAAGGTCACGGGCTCCGATTGGGTAAGAAACTTAAGATCCGTATCCGTATCCGCGAATCTTGACACCAAATATCCGTATTCGGTTCCGTATCCGCGAATATACTTTGTTAACGATCCGGCACATCACTAAAATAAAGTATTATCTATCTATCTATATTATATATCTAACCACGAGTATGTTTAAAATGTGTTTAAACCTTTTTTAAACAGGACAATCGAGTTTATAAGTACATAAATTATTCTTCAAATATAAATGAAGCTACCAAATCGTTTACTTAACTACCTCTTATTTATTTAAGGTGCATTTTCATTAGCCTCTAACGTTTTAAGGAAAAGACTTATTTCCAAGAAGTAGTTTTTGTATGGCATAAAAGTTAGTCTGTAAAGAAATCTTAAATCAAACTATTATATACATATGTTAATACAAATAGTTACGAATCTTCTTACAATATTACTTTGGTGGTTACCTAAATAAATTAAAAATGGTCTTGGATGTATTTGATGACAAGTTTAATATTTACAAGTCTTCACGTGGAAAATTTCAACAATATTTTCGATTTAGTAAGCTGGTGTAATTGACACCGACATTGGGCCGGTAGCCAAGTAAAGGCAAAAAGGTGGATAATTAATCGGTAGAGAGCAATTTGTGGCTTCGTTTCACACGCCTCATGAGCAGGGAGGGCACTTGTTGCCAATTTTAATAAGTAATTTTGTAAATATTTACAGTAACGGGTGCGTACATACGTTATTTTCTATTAACTATTTTTTCGTTTTTTACAGACGCACATGATGTCGTTTAAAACGAAACTAGCGTCTTTAGATGACGTCTTCAGATGTTACTTTAGATTAGGAAGTGATATGAAAAACTTTAAGTGGTGTATCCCTGCTATCATCATTGAAATTGCTAGCATCGATAAATTCTAGCTGAAATCATTACAGCGAAAATCCATGCAATGCGTGCAAATATGAATGTTGGTTATGTAATAAGATTTTGTTTATAATAAGATGTGTGTCTAAAATGAACATTCACATGCTCGTAGCCAAATAGTAAACGTAAACATTATTTTAACCCACTTTATTGAAAACAAAAAAAAAACAAGATAACATAAAATAATGTATAAAACTATGATGCCTCACAAATAAAATTCAAAATAAAACAAACCATGACGAATGTTTTAAGTAAGCTGTGAAACAAAGTGAGAAATTTATTACAAGATAGGACTAGAACAGATATATTTTTTTAATTTTGAAAAATGATTACTTTGTAAAAAATATCAATACCAAAACATCTATTGAAGCTTGATTGCCATGTCAATAATACGTGCTGTCCCAATTATTATGAGAATATTGTTTTCCGTTTCGGTTGTGTACCGACTCTGTTTAAAAATATTTACTTTACATGTTAGTTTTTCATTTAAATACTTTATTTTTCATTTTCTAATAAGATTTAAGGTCATTGTCAGTGTAACCGAATCATCCAATGTTTTTACAAACTGTTTTTATTCCACTGTAGCGGCAAATTAAACACGCCTGATAGAAAACAATTTTAGTACCTAACTTTAACTCCTTTTTCTGTGGTTTTAATTGTTCATATTCAATTTTAGTTTTACCCATTCACGTGTCAGATTTTCTAATATCTTTACGATTACTATTGGAAAACCTTACTTGTACTAAGTCTAAGGTTTTCTTCTAAAAAATGTCGGGTCCTTATAAAGTAAAGCTATTAGGTAAAGTAATGTTGTAAATAACTTATAATCTACTTTCTGAAGCTACTGAATAAGTTATTTAGCTAAGATAAACTTTCCGACACGTGGTGTTTGTTCTTAACAGCGGGGATTAACGACCGAAAGAATTACTGTAGTAAGTAGGTACTTATAGTATAACAGGCGTACTGCGTTGTACTAGAATGTGATTAACATGCTTGTGTAACAATATATTTGTCCATGACAGCTGTTTACCTACGCCCTGCTACTGTTTTCGCATATAGCTGTCGACGATTTGTAGCTATGAATTTAATCAACACATCTGTTTAAAATTTACGTTTCTTTATTAATATTACAATATTTTTACGCACACATACCTAACATCTGAAATAAACTATATTATTTTAAGACTGAATAGCTTTCATGATTGTGAAAGATTAATTTAAATCGATTAAGCATTAAAATTTAAAGGTAAACATAATATTATAAATCAAAAGTTCCCACTAAACCTTCTCAACCGATCATCAATAAAATTCACATAGGCATTGGGGTACTAAGAAAGAAATAAGGCCTTTCGTACAAAAACTCTTTTACAACTCATTTCTTAATAGTAATAGTTCAAATAAAATTCTTGAGATAATAAAGGAAATTAAAAGTAGTTAGGAAAACTCTAGGAAAACTTAATAAACTCTCTGCTCGAGGTTTTCTCAAGCGACTATAATATTCAAGATATAATATATATATAACCACTTAACATTAGTCGAACCATGGATTTGTTTGCCACGGACGTGTTATAAAAAATATTTTTCCTACAGTATAGAACTTTTAACGGGACAACCTCGAGTCGGCAGGTACAATTCAATTTTTTTTGCAGGTAAAAGCTAATGATTCTATTGCCTAGTTCAACAAAGTCACTCAATGTCTTATAAATAAAGTACTTAAATCACGCTATTAAACTTGTTAATTTAAATAGGCTATGCAGGTTACTCGTGATTTCCTTTTCTGCTTTTATGTTATGGCATTTGGCAACACATTATTATTCTATAAGTTATTGTTGATTATTTCAAATGCATTGATTTTAAGTGCATGTAAAACTACTTGAAAGATTTTTTTGCATTGTTTAACAGGGTAGTAAAATTGATTTTGGTTGAACTTACTGGTTTCAATTGCTTTACTAAATGTAACGAGATGTAACACTGAGATTGCTCACCCGACACTACAGAAATCGAATGCTAACCAGTATTACTGAGTAGTTAGTTACAATAAGCAGACATTGTGTTTTTGGGTACCGATACCCGTCTACCATCAGGCTGTATCTCTCTGCTTTTTGCCAACATAGACATAGGACAAATAGATTTGATTTAGAGTTGAATTGTCATTGTGAATTGTCAACTAGGAAATAGATGGGAATTAGTAAACAATTTAACGAAAGCATATGTAGGTAAGAAGCGAAGGTAAAGGTATGGTTCGTTAAGATTGGTTGGATTGGTTTCGTGAGTCATAATATATGTACAACATATCCGTTAAATTTACATAAAAATAAACTTGTTCTGCTAAGAATACGAATAGACAGTAGAGTGTAATAATGTCGCATACTTGCCCCCTTTTTATTACTGTTCCTTCTTACTTATTTTTTTATAGAACCTTGTGATTGCGAACTGAATGATTAAGAATACAATGGACCAGTAAACATCCTTAATTTGAATTGTTTGCTTAGCTATTGCCATTATCTTTTTAAATTAAGTTGAAAAATGTAAAAATGTCAATCCTATATTTCGTCAAGCGAATTCCAAGTCTGACGGATCGAGATATGAAATAACTAAAGTCTGGATTGACAATATAAGTAAAACACTGCAAGTTGACTTGTTTCTCTAGCCTCTCAATATCATCTTGTACATGCCATTCTTTATTACACAGTAGGTATTGGCATGAGCATAAATTCAAAATGTTACGCACATCACCATCAACAGCCTTTAATAGTTCACTGCTGGACATAGGCCTCTCCTTAGAAAGAAGGTTTTGGCCTACTATACCACGCTGGCCAGACGGGTTGGTACAGGGTTTGTGTCAAGTTTTCCTTCTCTTTACAGTGCTGTTGTCCTGCGTAGTTTGTTCCCTTAGCCGGCTTCTACGACACCCACGGAATGAATAGGGGTGGCGACATTCCGTATTCTTAATCCGAATGTTACGCACAGTGAAGCTCTATAGCAACAAAACAAGCAATAACTTTACAATTACACATACTTAAAAATGATCGGCATAATAATCTGATGTGTTGTTCATTCTTAAGTATGTGAAATGATTTAATTGAAATAGTGATCGATACTCGGAAGAATAGAAATGCCTACATCATCATTGTTTAACTTCGCAAAATAATATCATCCATTCATTTACACAATTAAAATGTTATAATCAATAGTTGACGTCAATGTAGGATTACGAATGTTTTGTTGATCGTTAAGACAGAACATTACAAATAAATTAACAAAATAAGAAAAATCGTCAATTTACAGAAGAATTCGGCAAACTAATGCGGAATACATGAGGATTAGTTTGCCGCAAGCAGTAATCATATGAATCAATAATTAAAGATAAAAGAGTATCATGGAACCCGCTTCGATTTCTGATGTTAATACGAGTATAAAATGACTACTTTTCACCATAAGATGATCTGTTTTTTTCTTGCTCAAAACTTCGTGGCATGACGAATTAATTTATTTCTTGGAATCGTAATTTTTCTGGATGAAAAGTACCCGATATCCTTCAATGTATCCCTGACTACTGATATGCAAAATTTCATTATTGTAGTTGAGATGTAAACCTGTAACAGACAGAGAGTTACTATACTCTGTCCGTCTAGTCAGTATTTATAATAGCAGCCGTTTTGGTACTAATACTAAATCATTTGAGCGCTATTGCCAATTGTTTGTTTTGTAGAGCAGAATGCAATGCCAAACCTTCTTGAGTTTATTTTTAGCCGAAAGGAAACCTTGCCAAATGGTAAGAGAGTTCACGGGCAGGTATATTAATCACAATGTGATAACTGAGGACAAGAACAAGAGTACTTAAAGGGTTAAAATAATGTCAATTTATAAATAAACGCACAAATAGAGCGTTATTTGTAGGTTTTATAACTGTATTTAACTCTTCTCTCTCTTATTATCTAATTTTATTTTATATTTTTTTTCCAACAAAAATATGGAGCTTTGAAATGAGTATAAAATGTATATGTCACAGCAAAAATTCTTAATAGGTCAAAAGTTCCTTTAATTGAAAACTATAACTAAAAAGTAGTTTTAGTAATAGCGATTTTGAATGCAAATAATTTAACCAACTGTATCGTATTCTACGTACTTTACTTTTGACTTGGGCTGAAGTTTTAAATGCAACGTATATACTGGCATGAGGCATCGCTAAATACTCTTATATTCTGTCAACTTCAAATACATTCCGTATTATTTTCAATTTTATATCTACGTATATCTATGTTCTTAGTTAAATGGGTCATTGGGCTTCAATGTAATTACTAACAGATGATTACCTCTACTATATTATGTAGTACAACGAACGCGGCTTCATTTGGTTGTATCTTTATTTTTCGTACCGTTAATTTTATCTCGTGCACGTTAAACATCGGATGTTCAATGAAACGAAAAAATCCCAATAAACGGGAATAATAATATATATTTTAATTGTAGTTTTACTTTAATTGTATTAAAGTAAAACTGTATGAAATGTTATGTAACGAAAACCGTTTTTTACATAAACATGAAATGTATATAATATTAAATTACAGTACGTCAAATATTTTTTCTCTTAGAGAAAATTAGAAGAAAGTTATTTTGTTATCATTAAAATAGTAATTATTTCAAAGTATGTCCGTAAAGAAATAATGTAATGCAATTAGACTTGACTTGAGATAGAGAATTAGACAATAAATTAAATTAATGAAATTCTTTTAATCTAACATTTCTTGATGATTATATCAAACTGCAATATTGTACATATTATTTCTACAAAAAGACATGTCTATTAGTATATCAAAACTAAAGTCATTCAATCTCAAAGGGTTGATGTTTACATATGCACAATTCCGTTTAACTTATTCTTAACTATTGTAGCACGTTGGTTTGACCCCGTCGTCGTCTAGTCTCAATAAAATAATGTCATAATTATGTACATAAATAGCTTTTTCGTGATTGGATGAAAAAATGAGGAGCCAATAACCTCATTGTTAAGTACTAAAAAATAAACCTAAAAGCCCTATACTGTTTGGCCGCTGCGGTACCGAAGTGGCGCGCGTCAGGTCGACGACCGGCCTTGCGCGGCGCAGGGCCGACGACGACGGCCTGACCCTTGCTTTGTTCCACGTCTCACTCACTGCGAATACCAACTCCGCCACAAAATACCAACCCACGCATTAGGCTGTGTTGTTATTACATACAACTCCGTTTAGAACCTGCTATGTTTGCCTTTAATTTAGTTGACACTGAAGAAGTGTGCGTTCTACGAATTTATTAAACACTGCATTTTATTAAGAGAAAACAGCAAAGCTACTCAGAAATCGAGAAGTTTTACAAGGTCGCACTGAGTTTTAATATTATTATTACACAATCGTGCAATACGAATCTAGATCCATTACTCCGCAAATGCGCGAGCGCGTGCGTCATCAAGTATAATTTTAACTCACGGAAGGGCACGTAGTAATATCCTTGCGTTTCCACAGTCCCGGGTACTGCTCTTGTCTGTCTCGTTTACCATTAGACGTAGTCGCTAATGAAGTAATATGCATGGTCGTGCCCACGCAGTGTTTTTGGCGTCGCACGGTCTGTCTACAACTGGCTCCATTCCATTCTTGAATATTGTTTTGAAATGGGTCGCTTGCAGTAGCAGATTATTTACTTCTGTTTCCTGTTCTTTCAGTACCTGATAAAGTTCAACGAGATAAAAACAAAGAAGGGAATCGAATTGCTGCAACACTTGGTGGAGTACTATCACGCACAGACGAACTACTTTCAAGATGGATTAAAAACGATTGAACACTTTGGTGTTTATGTGGCTGACTTAAGCGTGCAATTACAGAAAATTAGGCAACAGCAGGACGACGAACGACGGAGGCTACTAGAACTCAGAAGTATGCTGAGAGCAGCTGCACCACAAGACAGAGAGGTAATAAGGCCATTACGTATTAATAAATAGCGTACTGGATGTTCTTCTTATTGAAGCTTTTTTGACTGTGATGACTCTTAATTAAATTATGTTTCTATTTTAGATAGCGTCGCAAGTAGGCGGCTACTCTCTTCACCAAATGCAGGGTGATAAGCAGCATGGAGTGAGTCGGAGTGGATATTTGCTCAAGAAGTCAGAAGGGAAAGTTCGCCGCGTATGGCAGAAGCGTCGCTGCCGAGTTACCGCCGAAGGCTTTTTAGACATATTCCACGCAGACGAAAATAAAACTCCAGCAAGAGTCAATCTCCTAACGTGCCAAATTAAAGTTGCCGCTGAAGACAAAAGGGCATTTGATCTAGTCTCTTGTGAGTGTTCACAATTATTCCCGGAAATCACTTTGTATTCGTTGTTAAAGTTTGTGAATTATTCTTTATACATTAAAAGTCTTTACAAAATAATGAAAATTATAAATAAAATATGATTTTGTTCATAGATAATAGAACGTACCATTTCCAAGCTGAGGACGAAAATGAACAACGTGCGTGGACGTCTGTGCTAGTTAACTGCAAAGAAGGTGCTCTGTTGAGGGCGTTTCATCAACAGGCTGGCGACAATTCGAATAACGACTCTGGACATTCCTTATTGGACTTGCAACGCTCGATCATAAGAGCCGTACGAGCATTGCCTGGGAATCAGGTCTGCGCTGACTGCGGCTCCACTAATGGTAAGTTCCATAACACATAGTCAAAGCCAACTGCTAAAGAAAACATAGATATGTTTATTAATTAGATTAATAGATAGATCAAGTAAAAAACGTGATTGTGTTGACATGTCAACATTGCAGAATATTATTATAAAATCCAATAAATTCTGATGTAATTAAATGAGTACCATTTAATTACATCAGAATTTATTGGATTTCAATAAGTAGAGACCACGCATATCCTGTATAGATATTGTGTCCTTGAATATCTTCATGAGTTTAATTAATTATATTTTTTGTAATCAGTACTTCCTTTCGCACTGTATGAGATTGGCAGAAAAAATGATATTTATAATATTTGAGTAACTTTAAAATCATTAATGAGTAAATTATTTGTACAAATCGTATAGAAGCACAAACTTCAGAGTTGTTTAATGTTGAACCCATTGCGAAATAGTGTATCAATATCTCATTGTTTGATTTACCATGAAAATGTATGTAATGTATATAATTTTTAAATCACCGACTAAAGAAAGCATCACAATTTTTTTTACGGCGTAGCGGGCAAACGAGCAGATGGGTTACCTGATGGTAAGTGACTACCTCCATCCATGGACACTTGCAACTCAAAAGTCACAAGTCACCCTTTGAACCCCCTCCTTCCACCCTCCGCCAGAAGTAGGATCAGGGGAAGTTAAGGACTTTCCACTTGAATCCTCTAGCTCAATCGGCTTGACTGCACGGATGGCGTAGTGGTTTAAGTGGTCGCCACACCGCTTTCTACTACGCTGAGTGTTGTGGGTTCGATCCCCACATGGGACGACACTTTGTGTGATCCACAAATTGTTGTTCTGAGTCTGGGTGTTATTTGTGTCCGTTTCATGTATGTTTGTAAAGTCCCCGCGACACAGTATATATTCGTAATGCTTGAGTCGTCTACGTTCATTTCATCAAATAAAAGGTTTCTAAGTATTTTTAACAACGTTATTACCATATTTTCCGCATTGGTGGCTAGACAGTAAGCGGAATAGATAATAAAAGCTTCTAGAAAAAAACAGATTCTAACTACAAACTATATATATAATTGTATTTCAGATCCCACATGGCTCTCAACAAATTTCGGAATAATTGTGTGTATTGAGTGTTCTGGTAGTCACCGGGAATTAGGAGTGCACATATCGCGTATACAATCCTTAACATTAGATCGATTGAGCACTTCGCAATTGTTACTCGCAAGGCATATGGGGAACCAGATGTTCAACGAGATAATGGAACACACGCTTGATGAAAGGGACAAGCTGACGCCGGAGAGCACTATGTAAGTTTTTGGTTTAGACTATTGTAAAATATCCTAGACAATCTAGCATGGCTTTGTACTTCAGTTAATTATATGTAGGGAGATGTACAATTTATGCATAGCGATTTTAAAAGTTAAATGTTTATAAATGTGAAAGTGAGTTTGTTTGTTTGTTACGCTTTCACGTCTAAACTACTAAACCCATTTTTTTAAAACCATCAACGGAAAGCTACATTATCAGCGAATAACCAAGGCTACTTTTAATGTTGACAATGTAATAAAATATTCACCTCATAATAACCACTCAATCGTTTTATTTCAGGGAAGAACGTCTCCGGTTTATTCGTGAGAAATATGTTTATCGAGCGTGGGCGGCGCGTACTTGTTGCGACGCCGCCGAGCGCCTTTCCGAAGTGGAACACGCCGTGAACAACGGACACCTGCAAAACCTGTTACAGGCGTATGCTGAAGGCGCCGATCTGGCTGCACCATTACCTGGCTCGGTTTGTTCTAAACATATTACTTTTAAGGAATCTCACCAACGTGAGAGATCAAACTGTCCCATCCGGCAGACGTTGCACCTTCTATGAAAAGAAGCCATAGCGTTAAGGGGTTGTATTATTATTTGTATGCAACTGCTGTGCATACAAATATAAACCAACAATAAAAACAAACTGAAAACCCACAATTTATTGATGATTAAAATATAAATTACTATTTCCAGCGGATTCACTTTCATTGATGCAGATTATGTTATTTAATTCTTTGGAACAGTAGATGGTTGTTTTCATAATGAAAGTTAACCACTTTTTTCTGTACTGGCTGGTTGAGAAGATAAAGCGTGAAAGCGCACAAAACAAACAAAAGAAATCACATTCTCATTTATAATTTTAGTCAGAATAGAATATGAAAACAGAAACGTATGTTCATCGTGCATGAACTACACGTTATCTCTTTGATAAGCATACATGTAATATCATATGGTATTTTTGTTTATTTCATTTAGTGTCGTACACTGATACGACATTATGTCCTGTGTACATAATGTCGTATCATCACACATTGACAGGGAAACCAAGAAGAATGTTGAGGCCCTTACATCAAGAAAGTACATACTGTTTCCGAGGAATGGAAAAAATGCTTTTGAGCCTCGGTCAAAACATAGAAGATCAGATCAGAACATAGGAAAATATTTATTTAACTATTTGATTTTATTAAACGTATTATTTCATTTGTACTGGTTACAGGATTGCGGAGAAACACCTCTTCACTTAGCCATATCCCGAGAACTCGGCGACGGTTCCGCGTTACATATAGTCGATTTTCTAGTCCAAAACGGTGGCTCGCAAGTGTTAGATAAACAAACCTCTACGGGCATGACGGCATTGCACCTGTGCGCCGCCACCGACCGAAGCGAACCTATGAAACTGTTGCTCAAGGCGGGGGCTGACTCGACGATCAAGGATGCCAGTGGACGGACACCCTTGCAAATCGCGAGACAGTACGGTCATCATGCTTGTCAAGAATTGGTGTGTATTTCTCTACATAGTCTACTTTTTTAGATTTTCAATTTATCGACTAAGTAAAAAGTAGTAAGTGGTAATAGATTTGTTTTCGTTTTTATGAGGAAATACAAATATAAACTAAAAAATCAACATCAGACATTTCTTCCAATTGCATACATTGTTAGTTTGTGGTTAATGTATTTACACTATTCAAGCGTAAAAATCTAGCCACACATTGAAATAACTTGTTATTTTCTTCACAAGGCGCTATTGAAGTAATAAATTTCGTAAGCTTATAGTTTTTGTATATACAATATAGACTCAAACAGTAGGTTAATGACCTTTAAAAAAACTGGAATTGTTTTTAACCGATTTTTCAAGTTCGTTTTTGACATGCTTAAATATTATAGTAACCTCATTGTTTTTGAAACACTAATATTTTCTTTTTTTACGTACTTAAATCATGTTTTCAGTTGGAAAGTGTTGATAAACGCGAGAAGAGTATATTTGAGAATATTAATATCGACTGGAATTTGTCTCACGACGACGGCTCTACCGATTTCTCTGATGATGATACTGTCATCGACGAGAGAGTAAGTATAATGTAAAAAAAAAAATTTAATAAATCATCGTTTTGCAGAAATAATTAAAATTATAATATTATTCAATTAATCGTAGTTTATTAATGCTTTATAATTACATACTAATTACGTCTTGTATCTATTTAATTAAATCGTGCCTTATGCACTGTTCTGGCAACTTTGAATCGGTTTCATATTGTTTATCGATTAATTCTGGTATTATTCCTAGTTAAAAAGATTTACTGTAATAAAAATGTTATCTAAGAGCTGCACAAATAATATACTGTTAAATCTTAGAATGCTTAGATAAGACAGTGTGCGAAGTCCACCACGCCGATTACACATTTTTTTAAATTGAGTTTTAATTTAACTTGCGGTCTTGAACGTCCATGTACTTTGCCTCGACGCTGGAGATGTTCTCTAAAGCGGAGACATTCTTTAAAGAAACACTTAAGTGGTGTAATATCTTAGTATGGCGAATTCGCGTCGTTACAGCAAAACGGCAGCCTGACTCCCGAGAAGAAGTGTCCCCGGTCCCGGCCGCCGTCGTACGCGGGGCTGAGCGCGGCGGGCGCGGCGGAGCGCGGCGCGGGCGACTCGCCCGTGCTGCGCTCGCGCTCCTCCACGTGCGACGAGCTGCACCACGCGCCGCCCACGCCCACCACCCTGCCGCGCAAGCCCAACGTCTGTGAGTCACCGATCGCCACCGACAGACACCTGCACCTCTACATTATACTGCTATTTTGAAAATTGGAAATTGATTCATTGACGCACTTACGCACGCAACATATACAGTACACACACCCATACACAAATACAGGCACATACTAAACTCGCAACAATAACGCTTACCTGACATCTAGTACTGCATTAATCCAGAGCTGGGAGAGGCTAGTAATCTGTGATACAGGCCTGTCCTAGTACAGATACCAGTCTCTCACATAGAAGCTAATTAGGAATACTCCATATTGGTTAACATATTTATGATAGATCTGTAACAATGAATCATTTTATATTTCAGACAACATCGGCAGCCTTAAGAAACGTGTAGCGCCGCTACCGCCGGCTGTGGGTTTGTCGCATGTGGGTTTGTCACATACCGGCCACGTACAACATCCGCCTCCTCACCCTCGCTCGACTCCGTCGCCCTCCGCGGACAGTACTCGATCACTACACGGTAAACAAGCCAATTTTACCTTACAGGAGTCGATAAACGTACAAGGTTATAGAAAAAATAATAATAACTCGCGTCATCTCTCACGGCCGTCCGATTGTAAATTAGACTTTACCTGCGTTATGGCAATCAAACTGCTGATAAAAATGCTCTATATTTCTAAATTCAAAAATTACACGCAATCACACACTTGTCACTCATCACGCAATTGTTTGTCCTGGGTAGGAATCAAACTCACTACCTCTGGCTAGGCAGTCAGTACCGCTAACTACTAGATTAAACAGTAGCCAAATGTATATTTTAATAAACATAAGTAATAAAAATTCGTATGTTTATTTTAAATGTGTTTAAAAATTGATTAGGACTTGATACGCTATCGGCAAAGTAATTTTCGTTCTGTAACATATTTAGTAATTTAATAAAAAAGGGACGGAAGTGTGTAACATCAAGCCGGGGATATTTGGTTTCAATGAGCACTGTCCTGGAGTTGGCCGTGAGATAGTATGTGAAATGTCAGATCTCACACATAATATAAGACAATTTTTATCTGGTTCACTTTTTATATGTATATTTTTATTGATTTCTTCAATACCACCCATTGTCCTCAGTGGCGAGTGGAGTAGTAAAACACCGGCCACAACAACCGCCACCGACGCCGCCACCCGCCACACTACACAACGGGGCTCATCATAGAGATGAACCCACACCTCCTCCTAGGAAGGTAAATGTTACTCATTCTTATAGTAATTTATATAATAACCGAACATAAACAAAAAGGACATAGACTCAGCAACCTAGACCGGTTTAGCACTGACTTTTATTAGTAGCTTAATAAAACTCACGAAACGCATAGTATTCCTTTTTTTTACGTGTGAAAACCCCCTCGGGCCGTCACCCCACCGGGGTTTGCGGCGGGGTGGTGTGTCGGATTCGGACCGACTAAAACCACACGGTGTGCCACTCAGCACCTGTAATAGGAGGGCTCCGGGCTCGCCTCCTCGCGCCTGGCCGTTATGGCAGATGGAGGGGAAAACCCGTCCCGTCCACCCGCGGCCACACTCCAGGCGGCATGAGGCGATGGTAAGCGCGCCTTCGCCGCCCGGTTCGCCGATGACGAATTGGGTCCGATCACTCTTAAATGTGCCTGAATCATGAGCTAATTGAATTCAAGCCCAATTCTAAGCTATATTAGAATTAATCACGCATAAGAATAATTCATTATTTCTACCGACTTGAATTTACCAACAGTTTAAAGTCTTCGTAAAGTAAACGGGGACGTCCTCCGTTTAAGACTTTAAACTGCAATTTCACATTATTTCCAAACAACATATGTATGTAAATGTACACCTATATGAATCGAAAAGTATCGTTTCTCACGATGAATTAAAAGTTTTATGAGTGAGCTTAAGTACATCTCCTTTTGGTTTATGTTCTGAGAAGTCAATAGTTCAAATGATTGTGACACTTTTGTATAAAGATCAAGTTTATTTACTTTAGTGGCATGTACGATGTTAATATTTTCAATGGCATACTGTACACGCGTCACAACAACTAATAGTATTTTTATTGACAGACATTTGACAACTGATAATTGGAAGTAGCAACTATACTAAACAATGTACTCGTTGTCTTCTAATACATACTTGTTATTGTTTAAACATATCAATGCAAAAGTGTCATAAATCAATTAATGCGGTAAATATGTAAATATCAATAATAATATTATCAACTCACAGATTTAAAAGCGATTGCTATTACGAGTTGAAATTAGCAACTAACATAATGTTGACTAGTACAGGGTTATATTTGTTTTTGCTACAGAAGAAAAATAGATTGCACCTGGAAAAGGCTGTGAAAGCGAAACTCAAAAGGGTAACAATCGTCTGAAGAAAACTTAGTGTACTTACTTGCTTACCCTTGTTTGATTTACGCCCTTATATTAATATTGTGTTACTTTTATTGTCAAGAGAACGCCGAAATTTAAAATTCCCTAAATTTATACCACGAATTCTTAGCACTCAAAATCGTGCACGCTATTATAGCTTTCAAATTCAAGTGTCGATTATTATTCGCTTTAATAGCCTACACTATTTTGTACAACGGCTGTGTTTATTATATTGGAGTATGGTCCAGCTGGAAAGTAACATTTTCTTGACAAATGGTGGTTCCTATAAAATACCATAAACTATGCATACTAATATACACTTTGTTTATAAAGTATGTATATTTTAAAAATATATAATTTTTAACCTCACTGCATGTGTTTTATAACGGCTTTCGGCTTTCTTGTGTTCTAAAATAAACAATCCCTTTTTAGATGAATCTTCCATAGAATATAGATGTATGTATGTACTTATAAGTAGATATGAATATTTTTATAGGTCTCACAAGTACACAAATATATATTGTAATAAGATAATGTTTTATTTAAAACAAATAATGCTGTTGTTATTTTTATTCCTGTTTCTAACACAGTGTGAGACTTAACTACTGAATTTGTTCTGCATGACTTTTCATTGATTAAAACACATATTTTAAACACAAATAACAGTTAATATAAAATACACTTGTAGATTTAATTAATTCTTTACAATTTTTAACCTCGGCTTTAGAAGCATTTGTCAAATTAATGAGATTTAGCAAATATAAAAGTTATTGCAATAGAAATACAACTCTATAAAAATTATTTGAAATGACATTAATTCGTTAAACAGTTTTTTTTTTCAAAAACCTTTATTTTTCACAATTACGCGACTCTAATAGAAGTTATTTTTCTCAAATAAGTATTACATAAACATATATTATTAACTGCAGTGCCACTGTCAACATCGGCTCCGTGCTTGAATCGTCAATTTAAATCTCAATAACACAAGTTACAGTTTAATAAATAGTGAAAATCGTGGATAAGTGCTCAATATATATGGACAAAGTGAAAACAAAAACAATAAACTAGTAAAACAGTGCAAAAAAACAGTGATCACAACATTTGAAAAGGAAGTGTCATTTGTTTTAATGTTAAAACTATAGACGTTTTGTGAGACTTTATACACCAACGGAACAACAGTGGTAACGAAATCAATAAGCATTAGCTTTACAACTGCGTTATAAGATAATTTAGTGAAAATTCTGACAACATAACCTAAAACAAAATGCGCCATTGAATTCAGCATTATCCGTTTTTAATACTACTGTATATTTACTCCATCTAGCGGAAAAGGGAAGTACTACCTACACTCGAGTAATCGAACATACTTCCCAATCGATTCGATTCATGCAAGAAGTTCCTGCAAGCGAGAATAGAGGACACTACCTGTACCAAACAAAACAAAGCCAATACATTTTAATATTTCTTCTACAAAATGACGCAGGAAAAGTCGGAGGTAATGGCGGCGCTTCGCGCGATCCAAAAGGATCTTGATGAACAGAGAAAATTGATAAACAAAACTGCTGAAGAGGTGACAGACAAGGTAACAGTTAACATTAACAAAATAATTGAAGAAAAAATTTTAATCCTCGAAGAAAAACACGAAAACCTTAAGTTAAGAGTGGAGAACCAAGAAAGTAGAATATATTACTTAGAGAAACATGCAAGGCAACGTAACCTAGTATTCTTTGGGCTACATGAAGATGAAAAATCATACCATAGTATGGAAGGTAAAATAACAGATTTTGTAAATAAATTTCTCCCGATAAAAATAGATTGCACGGACCTAGAAGTCGTAAGAAGAATAGGAAAAAAGACCGAAAAGCCACGACCCGTAGTAGTTACTTTTACAACCCTGGGGAAGAAGATTGGTATCCTTAAAAATAAAAGAGTTCTAAAAGATACACCATATTATGTAAAAGAGGACTACCCACCCTCTGTTCTACAAATAAGGAAAGAGCTGCAAGAACGACTGAAGGCCGAAAGGGAAAAGGGTAATAAAGCTATAATAAAATATGACAAGCTTGTCATATTAGAGAACATACCTAAAAATAATAAAAACAAAAAAAGAAGCCTCCCAAACTCGCCGGAAAATGCCCCAAACAATTCTGGCCAGCAAATACCTCATGTAAATAAGAAGAACAAAACTGTACCTGCCCTTACAAAGCAAAGGTCTTCGAGTCTGCCCGATAACATAGTAAAACCGGGGATATTAAACTACTTGACTATCAAGAACAATAATAACACCACAAACAAAGAATACAATGCCACCAAATCATAGCAACGAGCACTTCAACCCCTCCCGAAAAACCACAATGAAGAAAATACAACAACACACAAATCACATCTCCCAATCCGGCCGGTCACCGTGGGAGGAAAAGACCGAAACCCTCCAGAGACAAATAACTCAAATAAGTTAGAACCTACATATAATAACCTACTCTATATTGCAACATTCAATGTAAATACATTATCATCACACGCCCGCCTTTTAGAACTCATGGAGGCACTGGAAAATACAAAATTCGATATAATTGGCTTATCTGAAATCAGAAGGCGAGGAAATTTAATTCAAGAATATGAAAACGTTATCCTTTACTACATAGGAGAAACTCCAGGCCTTTATGGTGTGGGCTTTCTCGTAAAAAAATACCTCAAAGCCCACATCGTCAGCTTTATTGGTCTGTCTGAACGGGTGGCTCTACTGACGCTAAATATTAATAATTTCAAAATCAGTTTGATACAAGCGTATGCCCCAACAGATGCTGCAAAGGATGAAGAAATAGAGCGTTTCTATGATATTATTGACAAAGCCCTGAAAATATCAGAGAAGAATATAATAGTCATGGGGGACTTTAACGCCAAAATTGGCCAACCGAAACCAGAAGAATATATGATCATGAAAAACTACGGCTATGGCACAAGAAACAGCAGAGGCGAACGACTAATCGAATTTGCATACGAAAATAAGCTGTCAATTATGAATACTTTTTACAAAAAGAAGAATAACCAAAGATGGACCTGGCGTTCTCCAGGCGGCTCTATTAAAAATGAAATAGACTATATATTAACTAATTTAAAGAACAATGTGCAGAATATACAAGTAATCAACTTGAATTACAATACAGACCACAGATTCCTAAGAGCAACATTTCTTATACAAAAATTAAAAGTAACTAGAATGAACTACACCAGCAACCCAAGAAGTTCCCTAAGAAATGAAGAAGAAATATCGAGATTTAAACAGTCACTCACCGAATGCAACGAAGACCTTAGACACTGCCAACAAACCAACTCTGTACAGGAATGCTATGACAAAATACTTAATATTTTAGATACTAGCTTGAAGAAAGCTCTTATTCACAACAGAGATAGAGTAAGTAGCAGTGCGATATCTGCCCATACTACAGAGCTAATACAACGTAGAAGGGCGCTACAAAAAATCAAACCAAAGACGCGAACTATGAAAAATGAATTGAAAGCATTGTACAAACTAATAAGTAAATACGTTCGAAGAGACTACGCGACTCATCGTAAGATTACTATTGAAAAGCACATTAACTTTACAGGAAGTCTTAAAAAAGCTTACAAGGAACTGCGATCTCATAAAGTATGGATAGAAGGACTTCACGACGCTCAAAATACAACGTACGACCGTAAAGGTATACTGAACATAGCAACCAGCTTTTATGAAAACTTGTACAATGCTCCAGTACGTCAATATGTTGATCAAAATGAATTAAAATTTGATGACAATGGCAATGGCATAGAGATAAAACCAGTCGACGAAACAGAAATTATAATGGGAATTAAAAGATTAAAAGCAGAGAAGAGCCCAGGACCTGACAGAATAACGAACGAGGCCATAAAAATAGCAGGTCCCTTTCTGGTAGACCCTTTGACTCATTTATTTAACCTAATATTAAGCTCCTCTACAACACCTACACAGTGGTCAGAGTCTGATATAATACTGCTGTTCAAAAAGGGCGACCCACTAAACATAGGCAATTACCGGCCAATTAGCCTCCTTCCTACTCTTTATAAGCTATTCGCTTCGACTATAGAGAAAAGAATCAGTTCTACATTAGAGAAAAGCCAACCAATCGAACAAGCGGGATTCCGAAGGGGTTTTTCCACTATAGACCACATCCATTCTTTAGAACTGATTATAGAGAAATATCAAGAATTTCAACGTTCACTCTACATAGGATTTGTTGACTATCAGAAAGCTTTTGATACAATACTACACCCCGTAATATGGAGAGCTTTACAATCACAAAAAGTGGAGGAAAGGTACGTACAAGTCTTAAAATACTTATATGAACACAATATTAGTAGAGTAAAACTGGAGAGCACAGGAGAACCCATTCCCATCAAGAGAGGGGTAAGACAAGGCGACCCCCTATCACCTCGACTATTTATAGCAGTACTGGAATCGATTATCGGCAAATTAAATTGGGAAAAAACCGGTATATGTATAAAAGGTAAATATATCAGCCACCTGAGGTTTGCCGATGACATTGTCCTACTAGCAGAAAATAGCACCGAGCTGGAGTCAATGTTAGTCACAATACAACAAGCAAGCAGAGAAGCAGGACTAGAAATGAACCTGTGCAAAACAAAACTCATGACAAATGCCGCACAAAACTCTATATGTCTAGACAACACACCGGTGGAGTACGTCGAGAGCTATATTTATCTAGGGAAACATATTTCCTTCCAAAAACGAAACAATGATATAGAGGTAGATAGAAGAATAAAAACGACATGGAAAAAGTTTTGGAGCCTAAAGGAAATCTTAAAAAGTCAGATGCATATTAAAATTAAAAGAAAGGTCATGGACACCTGTCTGTTACCAACGCTAACCTATGGCTGTCAGACCTGGAAGTTCACCGCAAGGGTTAGAAATAAAGTCAGATCCTGCCAGCGAAGCATGGAGAGAAGTATCACAAAAATTAGAAAATGTCAAAAAATTCGTCACACTACAATCAGACAAAAGACAGGGGTAACAGATGCTCTCACCTACGCCCTAAAGTTAAAATGGAGATGGGCAGGACACGTAGCGAGAATGACCGACGATCGCTGGACAATCCGCACGACGTCATGGCCAGGCCCAGCGGGAACCCGAAAAAGAGGAAGACCTATAACCAGATGGGTGGACGACATCACACAAGTAGCAGGCAAAGACTGGCAAACAGAAGCCAATGACCGTGACCACTGGAGTTCTCTGGAGGAGGCCTTCACCCTCACAACTTGAGGGGTTCATGCATATTTGCATTAGAAACTTTTCTTAAATTTACAATTATTTAATCAAGAAAATTTTAATTTTTAATTTTACGCATCTTAATAATTAACATTATTATTATAAGAGCAATCAAAGTTTATTTATTTATTTTAATTTAATCTATTAACAAATCAATTCTATATTGTATTTTGATAATCATTTTGTGGAACATGAAATATATATGATGAAATAAGTTCTTAATATACTCGTACCTATCGCTTTTCAAACCACATTTAATATATCGTTTTCATGATTGTAACTAGCAAAAAAAAGAAGTTAATATTGGATATTTATTGCATGAAATAAAAGGCTTTTTTATTTTTATTTTATTTTTTATTTATATTATTAACATTGTCGACGGTATCAGATGAGTCGTAACAGCGAGCTTGTGATTCCAGGAATGTTCTAGTCAAGACTCGTCGCTGGAGCTGTGCGACATATCGGACGCGTGCGTGGAGGACGTGCGCCTGGGCTCGGCGCTGTCGTGCGACGGCTCGCGCGGGCGGGAGCGCTCGCGCCGCGCCGACAGTCGCTCGCTCGATGTGTCCGACACCAGCAGTGTTCATTCGAGGTCACCCTCCGCTTCCATCACCATGGTATGTGGAGCTCCACCTTCTTCCAAACAAATATGTCCATTTAGGTTACATACATTCTTATAAATATACATTCAGTCACAAAAGTATCGGGAATGGATGATTTGTTTATGGTTCCAAATTAAAATTTATGTTTTTTTTTGTTGTTAGATTGGCATTGATTGGATTTGGGATTGAGTTGCATCTGTTATTTATATTAAATACAGTGCTGTTTTTAGTTATATCATATCCAGTGTGTATTGCGTATTTCATAATGGACAAAAACATCGAACAAAGAGTTTGTCTTAAATTTTGCATCGCCAATGCAATTTAGTTTTCGGAGTCACTGAAATGTTACAGAAAGCTTACGGAACCGACTTTATCAAAAACACGCGTGCTTATGAGTGGTACAAAGCGTTCAAAAGCGGTCGAGATATAATGGAAGATTTGCCTCGCTCTGGTAGGCCATCAACAACTGCAACTGAAGTTAACATCGCAAAAGTGAGGGAAATAGTGACTGAAAATCCTCATTTAACTTTGAGAGAGACATCCGCTAAACTTTCTGTATCACACGAGTCGATCCTTACCATTTTAACTATCATCACAAGTAATATGCTTTGTTCTTAGAATCGTTTTTTTTTTCAAAAAAAACAAAATTGTTTAAATTCTGCACATTTCCTTAAATTGTCCTTGTGATGTAACTTTCTTTTAGAATACAAGGTCCCCATTGTGTATCCTTTGTATTTCAGTAGTCGTTCCTCGCAGTGCCACCTACGTTTCCCTCTTCGTAATTTCTGCTTTGCTCCGTGCGTCTTCTTGCGTAATCTTAGCGTGATGTTAAATAACCTATTCTCAATAACCTTTCTTAATAAATAGGTACTCTATGCAAGACAAAAAGTATTTTTAAATCTGGAATTTAGTTCCAGAGACTGACATGTACCATACAAAAAAAAAACAAAAAATATAGATTTCAATGCTTAATTTCTCAAGAACACAACATTTTCTGAACGTGTTTGATCTTCCAGATGGGAGGCCTGAGACGGTGTCGCGCTCTCTACGATTGCTCAGCTGACAACGAAGATGAACTGTCATTCCGCGAGGGAGAAGTAATAGTTGTCATCAACGAACGTACAGAAGATGACAACTGGATGGAGGGACAAGTAGAAGGGACAGGCCGACGCGGCATGTTCCCCGTCTCTTTCGTTCACATGCTACCAGACTAATACCAGAAAGAAATAATTATGGAACGTAGATCAATACCAATGTTCGTAGACCCGTCTTAATCTGTATCGATAGTGTGACCTTGTAAGTATGAGTACTTCATTGACCGGAGTAATGAGTACTTACAATTGTATTCCCATAAATGGTAAATCTGAGGCCATAAAAGTGACAGGTTCAAAAGAATCAAGAGGAAATTATATTCAAAAATGTATATTGATAGCTCTGTATCAACAGAAAATAACATGATGACTAATTAATAATGAAATGGAAACCAAAAAAAATGGGTAATTTAATGTTGAATTATACCGATGAGTCAAAGGTATGGATTCTGTGTTCAATATTACTGTAAAAGCGCCAGCCTTTGTTTAAACGTATTTCGTCTATAACTACTTTATTTTAAATGTTCGGCCTAAGGCTTATTTTTTCTTTGTACAGCTCGAGCTTATTTACTCTAGTACTTTGTACAGTTAGAAATCACGTCTACAAGGATATTTTTTTTTAAATAAAATGGAAATTTTCGAAGCAAATAGACACTAATCAAGTTAATGAAAAGACTATCCTTCTAAAATAAACCTCTGCAGGTACCAGAAATTACAGGTTACTGTTATAAAGACTACGTCAATGCTGCTAAATGATAGACTTAATTTTATTAAACATTATTCATGCCATTGTTAAATTTTCCTAACGGTTTATGGCTGTTTGAAATATTATATGACATTGTTTTATATACAGTTTTAATACTCAGTAATTTTAAACATTCCTATTTGGATACTTCTATCTCTTGTCTAAATAATATTTGGAAATTTTGCAGTTACAGCTTTAGTGTCGCTACGAACTTATAACACCAATAATATCGTACGATATGCCAGTAGACAGTCCGTCCTGATGCGGATTTTTTTACTTGTATTTATTAAAGTTCTGGATTTTGTAACTTAAGTATATCATGTAAAGTCTTACAGAACTGGAAAATATCTTGTAATGTGTATGTAAATTTGTAAATGGTCAACAACTTGAGATGCTCACAAGCTAATTATAGATGAACAATACTTGTAATTAAATATTTGTTGTAGAATAGTAATTCTACTTGTTCAAATATAAACTAATATCTAAACAAGTGTTTAACGATTTAACAAAGTGATGTCATTATGAAATTTCGTTATTTTGCAATATTCATAATTGTAAGTAATTTCATAAATAAAAACGTTATCATATTAAGTAGCATCAGTTAGTCAGCATTATCACCAGCAGTCAGTTTAATTTTGTTTTTTTAACTAATTTCAAAAATAATCCTGCACAACAAATCTTTTATGTAGCAACAGATGCGGTGACCATATTTCATTATTGTGCTCAACAATACGGATCCAGATGAAGTTAAATGAATAATAAGGTCAATGGTAATCTTTATGTAAATGTTAGCTTTCTCCTATTTAGCAGTCGTTTGTAATTCAAACACTTATGTTTTGTTGAATATAGATAATAGTAAGACAAGTAGAATAGAAACTGCGATGTGAATAGAAACAGATTGCAATTGCTCTCTTACCTATAAGCGTTTTAACTGCACTGCACAAAAAAGAAACAACAAAGTGAATAGAAAAAGAAGTGCATTGCAAGATTATTTTGCTATTTAAAAGGGCAATAGCAATGGGTACAATATGAAGCAAATACTTTAAACGCGTTGCTTGGCAATGTCTCTAAAGAAATGTGTTATTACTATAGTGGATTCTACTTTCTCAGTTTTTATTCTCCTCGTCATACGATATCAATTAACGAAACAAAACCTGTGTTTGCAGCTCAGTTAGATTTGCCAAATATGTATTGTGATGAATAGTGGATGATATAGTTTTATTCCACGACAAACTATCGGACCAGTGACTGTTTGTTGTATAGTTCGTTTTCGTAGATAATATTGAGGTGTCTTAGATTGTTGGTGCATGCATCTATAGAGGTCATGTTTTACTGCGAGACTATAGGCTCCAGGTCCTAAGTAGATATGTATATACATTTGAAAATTAAATGCTTCATTAGATAATTTTCAATATTGACAAATAGCTATTAGTTTTTCAATTTGGACCAAAGAAACATAGCTGCTATTAAAAATAAATAATTCGCCTATGGTCTCTCAAGTGATGCATAACAGAAAATTGTTGTTATATATTAAATTTTAACAGTTTTCACATTTTAATAGACGATTCCGTCATATAACTAATAGCAGTAGGGATTCGCGTTTATTTATAAGATGAAATACATTGAAAGTAATTTTGATGAAATGTCTTATCTACACTATTTCTCCCTTGTTAAATACAACTACCATAAACTTATAACACACATTCCCATATTTATAAAGGTATTTTTCTGTATATTAAGTTCTGTATATTAGATAGTAAGAATAAACCGCTAATTGTATAGTTACCCATATAACCACGCGAGTTGCCATACACTAGTATTAACTAAAAGTGAGTGAAACCATACCTTACCCATGGTATAGCAGTAATTATAAATCCTTACAGTATGTTTTGCTGCTGTTATTTCTTTACACAATCCCCATTTCGCGTCATATAAAGTAGGGCACCACGTTTACTTCAAAATATTTTGTATAAATGTGATTGATAAAATCGTTGCCATGAATGAATTTGCGTATAGTGTAGTAATACTGCAGTTGTGTAAATAGATATTTTAACTATTAGTTCGTATGTAGATGTTATATAATTATTTCGATAAGGAAAAGCTGAAAATTGTTTTATATTTTAATTTGGAATTATCGTATAAATTGTATTTATTTCTTAATATATTGTGAAATCTAAATGTGATGAAGTATTTAATGCCATTTTAGCCTGTCAGTATGTTACTTATTAAAAGTTATGTAACCAAATGATGCTAATAGTGTGTAAGATGTTTTATCCTTCATGAAGTTGTAGCTGAAATTAATATAGTTTTTTTCTATTATGTATCATGTGAACGAAATCTGTATGAATTTATTAAATACATCAATTGGATGTCTAAAATTTATTTTATTTGTTCAACACTTCCTGATAGATTTATATGATAAAGTGACAGTTAACATTCATCTACCATTGAAACCAAGACTATAATAATAATTCAACTTAAAAAATGTGTAATTTTATTTACCAATTTTTAACAATACCAGTATTTTTCTTTAGGGTGTAAAATTTAAATGCATTTTACACACAATCAATGTGAGACTGTTTAATTGAACTGAAAACAGCCTGATTTCCGTATACATGATAAACAAACAACATGCAACAAACAAATGATAAAAAATATTTTATATTTATATTCAATATGTGGAGACGACTTCATATAATTATACGTTACTAGCTGTACCCTGACACGCTTCGCTGTGGCACATTGTGGTTGCATTGATGAGAAATGAAGATCAAAAGTGAGGCAAAAATAAAATATAAACTCATCTTTGAAGCGTGTTGTACATCGTGTCAAAATTTGAGCTCAATGGGTACAGAACTTTTTGAGTTTTTGAAACCTAGACAAAACAACTTAACATTTATATATACACATATATTTAAATAGATTTAAAATAATATTAACGCTAGATCGCTACAGGAAAAAAACAGATAGGTATATTACCCATAATCTATGCAGAGCATGCCTTTCCATTTCAATACCACATTAAACTATTTTTGGTTAATCATTTAACAACCTAGACTTTCTTTGACAACAAGCGTCGCTCATGACTTGTATATTTGCTTACCCATGACAAGTCATGGGTAAGCAAATGGGTAAGCAATGTAAAATCGTGTGCGTTACCCCAGCAAAACAATGTCGAAAGTAGTAATTTAACTGTTATAGACATTGATATAATACTTATATTTAACTCAATGGTTATAGATAATTAGTTGCCCAGCTTCTGAATAATATAATTAGTTTACTTCTGGTATATAAGTAGTTGTCTAGACGAGGTAAATGTAAGTTATTTTGTGTTTTCTTCGGCTGCGAAGTTATTCGAGATCCTACTGGAGCAACGTTTGTGGGTTTGCTGGATCCCCGAAAGGGGTAAGCGGATTCTAATCATCTTTTGTACATAACTTTTTAACAATTTGTTTTAATTTGTTAAGCAAAAACAAAAACAAAAAAAAATGCCGTGTGGTGTCGTGGGACACCCGATAGGAACGAAGTTGTGACGATCGAGTAAAACTGATTTGACACGATTTTAATTACAACACCATCTATGAAAGCGGCTATTAACTACATATTAAAAACAATTAAAACAATTTATACATTGGTAAAATCTCCTTGCGAAATGATTTCCTATCTATTCGATAGATGGCGCTGAATGTTTGACAAGATGACACGAAAATAAAGAGCAAAAAGCCAACATCACGTGGTATTCCCAGGCGGTCACCCATCCAAGTACTAACCACGCCCGATGTTGCTTAACTTCGGTGATCGGACGAGAACCGGTGTATTCAACATGGTATGGACGTTGGCGAACGTTAAAGCAAATTTAATGTATGGTATCCACAGTTAGACGTCAATTTATATTAAAAGTGTCGTGACAAATTTTCGTACGAATTTTTTCCGTCTAGCCCCCTTTCACAACGCGCGATAAGGAACTTCGTTCCAATAATGCACGTTTTAAAGATTATTTAATTAAGTATAAAAGACTTCAGTTCATCTTAACACTGAATAAGACCTCTAAAGACTTCCTTTAAACGTTATTTTGTAGCTAGTAACTGCCTTCAAATGTATGTGAAGTTAGTATCCTGTAAGTAATTAATAAATTATAATGAAATGTAGCTCTCAACGGTCATGGTCAAAAAAATCGCCTTCGTCCATATTCGTAACTAAAGTTACCTAACCAGTTACAAGAAAATATTTTATTTCGTTGTTTGGTAACTAGTTGTGGGAGAACAATTATTACACTTTGGTAACTTGACTTCCCTAACCAGTTACAAGAGAAATTTTTCATTCGCTGTTTGGTAACTAGTGACGGAGAAGAATTATTATTCCACTTTTGTAACTATTT